TGTAGGTTTCTTATGGCTTGTTTACGTTTGGAACCAGTTATGCGAGGTAGGCGACGATTGTTCGTATTTGACAGCCACCTCCCCCCCTTGACTTCACACAGTTAGAAAAAAAGTACCCAAAATTAAGTTCTTTTCACTCATCTCGGCACTACAGTCACAGAGAACAGACATTGAGGCTCGAACAAAATTTCACTAAAAACTTGTGTAAAGATTACTATTTGACTTAAGCGCCACTAACAGCGACTTCCCCACTTAAAAACCCTCTTTGACAACATGATGGCGCTGGCGTTGCAAAACATACACTAGACACTAAGTGCTGGTAGCGCCAAGTGGCAATTTTCAACAGATAATTCAGTGCCAACATTTCAAAGGGGCGTAATTGCTTTTGTAAACAATGACTTTAGCCGTCAATTTCTCGCGAATGAAATCTTACCTCTCCAAAATGACAATGCTAACTGGTAGAGGAAACATTCCTCTACCTGCTGGAGTCATTATTTTTCATGAGTGAGCTTTTATTCACGAGAAATCGTCGGCTACAGCCATTGTTTACAAATGCAATTACGCCCCTTTGAAATGTTGGCACTGAATTTATCGGTACTAGCGCCCAATTGGTCGAAAGTGATAAATTTATAGAGGAAATCAAGAGATGCAAGCGGTACGTAACGGCGACGTTTCCACTTAACTTTACACAAGTTTCTGATCGAACTAGGACGTCTGTTCTCTGTGCTGCAGCGTTGGAAGAAAACACGGTTTGGTTGACGTTTCTTCTCGAACACGCGTGGCGCACTCTACGTTAATGGTGCATTAAAAAGGCGTATTGGCGTCTTGCCACAGAGAACAGACGTTCAAGTTCGATCAGAAACTTGTGTAAAGTTAAGTGGAAACGTCGCCGTTACGTACCGCTAGCATCTCCTGATTTCCTCTAAAAATTTATCACTTTCGATCAATTGGGCGCTAGTATCGATAAATTATCTGTTCAAAATAGCCACTTGGCGCTACCAGCACTTAGTGTCTAGTGTAAGTTTTGCAACGCCAGCGCCATCATGTTGTCAAAGAGGGTTTTAAGCAACTCCCCGGCAAGGTGACAGATAATCTTAGTTTCACGTACCCACTTGCAAATAGTAGATGTCGCCACACAACGTAAACAAAGGGACTGCCCTTCACCGCCGCAATGGTATTTCTCTATGGGAAGGCAACTTTTTGTTTCACCATGTGTGGATGTCAAGCAACAAGCAAGAATGCCATGTGAAAAGAGCGATTTATGATTTTCGTGGTGAAATGAAATAAATCCAAACAAATTGGAACAGATTGATGGAAGTTTTTCTTATATAATCAAATAGAAATAAAAACACATTGGTTGATTCTATTATATTTTGCTCTTGAATATTATCAGTCTTGAGAATAATGTTTCTGAGCATACTTGTGCGGTGAAGACTTGCAATAAAAAGCCGTATTATTAAAAACAGTTTACTTCCCCATCTTTCTATTGAGGGGTGAAAAAAAATACAAAATTGATTCTTATTCGCGGTGAGTAGCAGGTTTGCTGTGTGAACACTAACATTTCGTATATTCATTCAAACATGAAGAAATAAATAAAATAAATTAAAATAAGCGTCTCTCAACAAAAGATATTCATAATGAGCTTCTAATACGAATAAATTTCAGTGATTGTCTTTTGTTACACCCGTCCGTTTAATTAACATTGTTCCCCACCAACTTGAAGTTTCAAGAAACAGATGAGGTTATCTGTTTTTATGTTCAGTATTTTATTTACTTTATTTACATATCTGCATTCGCCCTATTCAGATAACACTTCTGAAATTTGTGAGATTGACAGAACCACCAGCACCAAATTTTCGGAGTACACTGGAAATGTACTGGACTTGTCAAGTTGCCCCCGGGTTGGTTTTAAGTGGGAAAGTCGCCGTTAGTGGCGCTTAAGTCAAATAGGAATCTTTACACAAGTTTTTAGAGAAATTTTGTTCGAGCCTCAATGTCTGTTCTCTGTGGTCTTGCAGAGAAACTTTTCCAAGCTTTCGCCACCTACATTTCGAAGTGAGAACTACTAGAAGGAGGATAGTTTCCAAATTTTCCAAGCAAAATAAACGCTTTTTGGGGCAAATCGGTCCATAAAGAAAAACTAATAATTTCCCGTGGAAACTTTTGCTTGAATCGTGTAAGAAAACGTGTTTGAAAACTATTTGTTATTATTTTGGTATGGATCAGAGATGTTTTCATGGCAAATTATGCATAACAAGTTTGCACCCACAGGGAGAGGTTACCTCCTGCGCAGCTGCATTTTTCAGAAAATGGTTAATATGTGCGATTTTCACTAAGATGGAAGTGGAAATTAAGTGAATTTACTTAGGAAAGGTTGTATCATGCTGGTGGCAATAGAGAATTGGGTGTATGGGACGCCAAAATTCAATAAATGCTCATTTTGGCCTTTTTTAAGCAAACATATTGATACTCACAATTTTTGACGAAAAACGCACCGGAGCTTGATTTACTCAACACGCACCATACTATAAAATGGTGCTAGATGGTCTTCAAAGTGATAACAAGATGACAAATCATCTTTATTTTGAGTAATTGAGCAATTTACTTTTGTTTACCATCATATTTACGATGCAGCATTGATGGAGCCGCGAAATGAAATGAATATATCTTATGAAAGTTCAATTGGAAAAGTCAAAGATGCACATCAGTCTGATCGTAAAAACGTTTTCTTTTTCAATTCGAATGTTATATTGGAAGGATTTTACACAGGCTTGATGAAAATTATGATTAAACGCTAATTTTCACGAATTTTATATGCAGTCTGTCAACATTATCATCATCATGCAGTGGAGACATCTGCGTTGAGCTTTTACGGCAATCTTCCAATTGTATTGACTGCTTTCTCATCCCAATGGGTCTGGGTTCAATGCCAGCCGAGATCGGTGAGATTTTCCGGAGGCATAAAAATCTCTGGTCACGTCTTCCTTCAGGAGGAAAGAAAAGCCGTTGATCCCGGCCCATGTGTGTTGAATGGGTGCGATATTCTACGTAGGTGTGGAAGCTGCCTTCCTGCACATTCGATTGCCGACAAAGGATGGCAATCGATGTCCGTCGGTGATTGGCACTAGATTGCGGAACAGAGACCGACGTTAAATAAAGGAATGAAGACGAGGAAGAAGAAGTTATTGCCCTTTATTGAATTCCTTTTTCTTTCGAGCAAAATCTTATTCCCGAAAAGCTGTGCTTTCGTCCTGAAATCTAATCTATAGTATTGTCACGCTTATGTTAAATTCTCATTTGGTGACGGTCGAAGCGCGCCGCTCATAAGCGCGATGCAACCACGCCCATAAGGATTATACACAGGTGTGTAACTTTGATAGTATGTTATGGCAGCGGCTTGAGGAGCGAATCCTGGATAAAGAGCCGTCGTGTGGTAAATCAATGGGCACAGTCGTACGGCCTTAATCAGAAAACAGATGGTATTGTGTGTGGCAGGTATCAGATGGTATAATCCCTTACCTACCTGTTTTCTGTTTATAGCCGTACGACTGCGCCCATTGCCGCGGTCATAAAATACTATCAAAGTTACACACCTGTGTATAATCCTTATGAGCGGGGTTGCATCCGTTGCATCGCGCTTATGAGCGGCGCGCTTCGACCGTCACCAAATGAGAATTTAACATAAGCGCGACAATACTACCCTTAAAAAGTCACCGCGCCACGCGCGAAACGCATCTGATTTTCACCATCAAACAAACCAATTAATTCCGTTCAACACTGTACGAGTTTAAAATAATTTAAACCTGTTTAAACAACAGAAAATGAGTGGAAAAGTGGAAATTGCTTATAAATTACAATTCAATGAGGAAAAAATGCGCTGTAATCTTACAGGTACTGTAGATAGCATCACCACCATCATATCATGGTGGTTAATCTCTGTTCGAGCTGTAGAAAACGAAACAAAGTTAGCAACAGATTACGACGAACCCTTGTAAAAAAAATGATAAAGCTGATAAGCAGAAGAAAGAACAAGTTACAAACGAGTAAATACAGTAAAGAAATAAGATATATAACAACAAACAAAAAACAGAGTAAAACCTTAAATGACCCACTCAGATTGAGAATTATATATTTTTGAAAGCAACCCCAGCAACGCAAAGGCAAAACTCATCCAAAAGTAACTTACACTCATACAAACAAAGTTATGATCGATGATCGCGCGTGTATGTGTGTGTGTGTGTGTGCGCGCCCGTGTGTATGTGCGTATAGGCAGATGATAAGTTTTAAAACAAAGCATTTCCGTCGCACCAATTTATACTATGTGAACAACACTCTCTCACACATCAACCATAATTATCAAACACTTTGCAAACTTGGTGAACTTTTGGTTGGTTTGAATTTCTGCCTCCGGTTGCAAACAAAAAACCTCTCTATCTCTCTCTCGTTTACATTTACAATAACTTTAACAGAAACCGTTCATAACATGTAACAGTATAGAGTCGATTGAAACAGTAACTGTTACTGTCACAAATACAAGTAAAATGCCCTCACGAACACAAACAGATATACAGTTAAAAAAAAAACGAATGAATTATAAACCAACCCCTTAGTTGCAATGATTTTAGCAAGGATTAAAATGAAGAAAACTAATGATTGTAATTAATCAAAACTAGAAAAACAGACAGAATGATGTTTTTTTTTCTGTTTTAGTGAAAGCGAACATAAAACCAAGAGATCAAAAAAAAAAAAACGGTGAATATGTAATAGAAAAATGGAGGAGGTGGCAGGTAGTTGATGGAGGAACCCCTAGATGGATTAAAAGAAATATAGAATTTATTTCTTTACCCCTGATAAAGAAGAGAGATGGAGAAAATCATACAAAAGTAATGAAAAGAAAACAAAAAATATAAATAAATGATAAAAATTAAAACCGCCATTCCGTTGCGCATTTGGAAAGAAAGTCTCCTTTTAATTTCGTTCAACGTTCTATGTGTTTATTGCCAGCAGGCTCTAGATATACTTGAATACTACATCCTTCCGGTCGTCGGTGGTTTGCAGTTCGAGCGTGACCGGGCACTGCAACCAGTAGGCCAGCAGTTCCTCGCAGTACCCGACGAGGAAGTACATCTTCCGGGGCGTTATGCCCCGGCGCAGAATGGCCGCTATCCGGACGTGGTTGTACTGCCGTTTGATGATCACTTCCGACAGGACCAGCCCGTGCCAAGTGCCAGTCATGAAGCGCCGGATGAACTCATCCTCCAGCATCGTTTGCGAGGGCCGCAGTTCACCCTCCAGGTTGGCTACAAAGTGTCAACAAATCTTTATGAAAAACAAGTAAATCCCGGCATTAATTACCCACAAGTATTCCAAGAGTTCCACGCTTTCCGATGGGCAATCAGGTGCGGCGGGTTGGCCATTTCGTACGTGAGTGGCCGGTCGCCCTTGGGTGAGATTTTGTACCGGCCGGATTGGGCTTTGGCGCTGACGGCTGTCGTATGCAGCGAGCGACGAGCTGCCAGCGTCGCCGTCGTCATGGGGAGCTAAAATCATAAAAAAACTGTTATTGAGAAACCCAAATTATAGCAAAATAATGAAAAATTAACAAAAAGATAAATTACCAGTCGGATGTTTTGTAACATGCTCATGGTGGTGTTGCTTTCAGATTTTTTTCATCTCGCGAAAAGAGCGAGCGAGGACTGTCATTACTGTTGATCGATTGTTTTGGTTTCAGTTTCATCGATTCTCACGCTGCTCGCTTCTGTTTGTTAAAGTAGGGCTGGGTGATATCGTGCAGTTCGGATGTCCCTGTGGCTGGATGTTTTACTGCACGCTATTTCAAAACTACCCAAATTTGGGTACAATCGTAAACTGGTAAACTGTGTTGGGAGTGACAAGTTGACAAACGAAAAATGTCGATCGGATTCATGTCAATGTTGTTCATTTGTCAACTTGTCACTCCCAACACAGTTTACTGATTTTTGGGTAGGTTCAGTTTTGACCGATCTGGGTGGATTGTACACGCAGAAAAAAATATTGTTGAAACAAAAATATTTGATATATTTGAACGTAAACTCGGTTTGTTGTGGCCGGGTAAGTCACTCTGCCACCTTGTGTTAACACCCACAAAAACACACTCCAAACACCTTGTCACACAGGCAGCCACCACATAACAGATAGTTTTTCATCAATCCTGGCACCACTCCCAAGAATGTTTACATCATGTGTTGTTTATAATAGACCAATCCATGATCTGATTTTATCATTCATTTTTGACAGTATGATCTGCTTTTTATTGTTCTGAACCTCTCAAATGAGTAAACAAACCAATCTAACCTGCCAAATTATTTAGAACGATTGGTTTATTCATGTGATCCAGGATATCAGATGGCGGAGGATGTAATCGCAAAAGCGCATGCTGGTGGTCCCTCGCTTGAAAGCGTATATGGGCGGTTTGCAGGCCGACCGCATCAATTTAAATTCATCGAGGGGGAGATTTTATGCCTAATGGACTTAGTGAACATCATCCAAACTCATGGGGTCAAGACGTTTATCCGTCCGGTGAGGAAAATCGGGAAACGTTCACATGGACAGTTCAGACACGAATCCGCTACCGATGCGCTTGGCAGACTTCGGCTAAAGATTTCGGAACATTTTTCTAATCCGTTAGTATATTCTGTATCCTGTTCTGTATTATCAATTGCTATTTTAAAGTAGTTCCGAATATTTTTCTTAAGTCGAGCTACAAAAAGTAGGAATATCGGTGGTCAGCATTTCATCAGATGGAGATACACGACTGTTGAAGGTGATGAAGGAAAGGTCAGAGTACCTAGCCTCTTTGCTAGTAAGGTGTATGGGCGCACTTTGCCGCCGACCTCACCGGTGAACCAGTGTGTATACAAGAAACGGTACACCTCGTTAACAAATTACGTCACGATTTGCTAGACCCGAAGTGATATGTTTAGGTAAAACGTTTAATTCCTATTAATAGGTATGAAAAGATGTAATATCGCATTGTACATCACTTGTAGGTCAATTCGTCGTATCGGTCACCGTTGTGCATTAAATGGTCCAGCAAGGCTGCAAAGGAATTCATCGATTAAATCCATCAGATTTAATCCCAAACGACAAAATGAAATTGGATCCTTCACTGAAGCTGATGGCAACGGATTTAATCCAGCATTTGAAGCAGACCGTCGCTGGAAGCATGGGAACAGCCATATATTTGAAGATGATGAGGAACGTATACATCGCTTTTACCGATGAGCTCCGTCCCTCATCCATCCATCCAACAAGCAGCGGGTTTTTGTCTGAGGAAACCTTAGCATATTTTAATATATTGCGTTTTTAATTTCGGTTTTATGCTTTTCCATTAAGAAATAAAAATTATTGATAACTAGGCCGTTTAATACCATTACAAATAGTAAATATAATCACAAATAGCCCTAAAGACAAAAACTGTTATGCTTACCTCATTGCGAAGAACTCATCTGTTGAATCAAACCCAAACCCGGCTTGTTTGGTCTTTGCTTGAAAAATTATCAAAACAATTACTATGATGTTCTCAAATATTTACTTGGGCATTGCACTTCAACGGCCATTTTCCAAGCCATTTTCTCAATGCCTGATTTTTCCATATGAGACTGATATGCGATTATCGATATATCGGCTTAGCTTACAATCTCACTTCCATTTTTATCTTTCCACCTCTATTCCTATCTAAATCTGTTTCCTGGAAATCACAGTGCAGAGTCACGAAAACCGAAGACAACAAGAAACGCAACGAAGAAATTGAGAAGAAACATCGACTGATGGCGATGGTAGAGATAAAACCTCACAAAAATGACGACTGGCCACGGGAACACAAGTACGACAAGATTGATTTCACATACGATCTGGATCAGGAACCCCTCGTTGAACTCGAAGATATAGTTACTAGAAGTATTCAAAAGAGAAACACATGCTGGGTCATTAACCTGTGTTTCTTCGCACGCTTCCCTGATCCAATCTATCATTACTTTTGTCGTCACTGTGGCCCAATAAGTACGATGGTTGACGACCGCCGGAACATATTCGACACGGTGGGTGCGTTGCGATTGGGAACACGACAGAAGCAAAGATGATGGCTGCATTCACAACGCTCCGCAGAAAAATGGGTTCAAGGGTGAACTGAATCTGACCGTATAGGTATCGCAGGATGGAATGTTCAAGAGCGTTAAAGGTGACACTCACCTGTGGGATGTTGGGATTCGGGGGGCTTTGAAAAGTGCAGCATAGTTACTTGTTGGAACATTGCAAGAATGTGACCAGGACAGTGTTGTCGATTGTTGCAGGTTGGATCACTTCTATCTTGGAGACAGTCATTAATCCCCTGTAGAATATTGTAATCATTTTCATGTTCACGGCCCTTGAACTCGTTAAATGCATTCTTCACGTTGTACTAACGTTCCCTCCAATCATTGGCAGTGGTCGGGTTGACCCTGGTCTACCGGTGAAATTACAGTTACAGTTCCAGACGGCAGGTAATCAGCTGATGGACCAACACAAGCCATCCACATCACCATCAGCAGTATCATCCTTTACATGGCCATCCAGCGCAGCAGCATCGTGGAGGCGTTAGGCAGCAACATCAATCCGTCTGTTTCCCATTTTCTTCGGTCTGCAGGCCCACGCAGCTGAAAACAAAGAAAAAAAAAATCAATTTCGACTTTAAATCTCGCACGTCGATTAAATCATTACCACACTTACCTCCGAAAACAGACCGGATGGTGGCCACAGACCGCGGTTGTATTTTTGGGATTAAATAATCCTCGAGTACTTTTTCAAATGGACGTAAGTCGCAAAATGTAAACAAACCGGGTTTTTATTGTATATGATTTAAAAATTTGCAATATGCCCACTAGTTTGATTAAATTTGTGATAATCGATTATTTAAGTGTTTTGAATAATGTTTACAAAACGACTTAACATCCTTATTTACACTTTTTGGAATTATTGCCAATACGCTCTTTTGGTTTCAAATCGACGTTTCTGTCAAATTGATTGACAGTGCAGATACGCACTTACAAAAACGTCATCAGTGATGTATAAAAAAATCTTTGCACCAAATCGACATACGCCATTTTTTTTTTCATCTGTGGAAAAAAAACGCGAGTGACAACGTGGAAAAAACGTGTGGAAAAGTGTTGCTGATAAGTTCTTTTCTTATTCAGGAAGAAATGGAGAGAAAGGTGAAAATAGAAGGAGGAAAGTGTTCTGGTTTTCAACTGCTGCTGGGTAAGTGGAATTGTGATTGTGAAAACACGATTAAAGTGATAATGTTGTTTTGTAGATGCCGCCATACAACTCGAAGTGAAGAATACTTATCACGATCCAGGCCATGACCACCGATATGCTCTACCAATGGAGCCGTCGACTTCCAGCACCGGAGCTTGTTTGGGTATCATGGACACAAATACCAGCATAACCTCTTTTGCAGTATCGGAAACGCTTAGTGCTTTCTCGATCAATCCCGATAAGTCTGACAGTCTTTTGAGTGATGTTGAGCCCGTTCGGGTAGGAAGTAGTTCCACCAAACGTCTTGCACTTTCCGATGATTCTAGTAAGTATTTTCTTTCGTATTCAATTAAGTTTGGTTTATAATGTCAAATTAATTGTCAATGTATTACTCTATTTACGATCAGATCCCACTAACCACCCCTCTTCCTTGCCCTGGATTCAACGAAATCAAGAAAGGGCTGGCATGCCATGGCCAGATGTCAGTAGAGCAGGACTACAAGTTCCCGATAATCCACCCAAGCCTTGGACCTCATCCTCGTTGAAGCTGCAGCTACCAGCTCCTGTTGATCGGTCCAAATCACGGATCTCACCCTATCCTCTGCACTCTACGAAGCAATTTAAGGGAAAGGCAAGTGGCTTCTCCGACCGTTCTGCACATTCCAGCATTTTCCAGCGGCTAGGTAATTCAGATCCCGTGCGTTATGATGTTTATGAACGTGGTTTCGATGTTTCCAACGTTTCTGGTAGGTATGGCTACTGGCAAAAAAAAAATAGTATTTTTAACATCACAATAACATTTTAAGGGGATTTAATTTGCATTTTATACACCTTCTAGGAAATCTTCCCGACGTCTCAAGAACTTCCCACCAGGATAGTGATGTATCTTCCCCGTCGTTCTATAAATCTATCTTGCGAGCTGCAACATCAACGCCGTTGCCGACACGTCAAAACACAAAACCGTCAGCACTATGCGTTGATGAGACACCTCTGGATTTGTCAGTTTCAAGGATTAGTGTTGAATCAGACATGCCTATTGATCTTGCGATATCCCAAAAACCCAACTCATTGAATTTATCTTATCGACCTATGGACTTGCGCGTCGCAAAACATTCGGATAACATCAACAATGCCTGTGATGTTGATGACATTTACGAGGTGGAAGAAGAAGAAGATGTCGAAGGAGACCCTATTCTACTGAACGAGTTTTCAATTTACGAATGTTTTGAAGAATACCGCAACATGCATACCGATGATGAGGAGTTTCCCGATTCAGACGATGAGTATGATTTTCAACCGAGACGCCGAAGCGGAAAACCAAAATCTAAAATTACCGTTGAACATGGTCTGATTTTCATGGAATGAATATTATAATGTGTGATAATATTGTTATTTTTTTCTAAATTACAGATGAACTTGGGAAAAATGGGACA